CACCAGTTGTAACACCTCTAACCTCATTTGCCATTTTCACTTTCAAGCTTTGCAGGTGAACTTCTATAGCACGATACAGGGTGCCTCAAAGAAAGCCAGGTGTTGGAAAAGCTTCCTTGGACCTCAGGCAAGCTCTACAGAAGCTCAAACTCCATTGAAGGTTGCTATATTGTTCTACACGATTCAAGCTGAAACAGGTAATCCATGGACCTCTATCTCTCTATCTAGGAAGAGTTAGGCTTAGGTTTGTGAATGAAACATGTCCTACTCATAGCCCTGAAGCCATACATGTGGTCACTTTTCATTTATGTTAAGCATGCTGTGAGAATTTTAGCCATGAACATTTGAAAAAAGCTAGGTCAGAAATTGGGGGTGATGAAATTCTCCCTGGTTTCTTAGAGTTAGATTTAATGCTTGATATGGTTGAAATTGTGACTTCATGCTCTACAATGTTTGTTGTTGTACCCCAAAATTTGCCCTCCCATATTCTTCAAGATTTGTCAAGATCAATCTCCAAATGGTTCAAAATCTCTCAAGGGTTGCACAGTCCAATTGCCTCCTAACACAGTCAAAATTAGGGTTTTGGTTCTTGCAAAGAAATTGAGGTTTTCAATGGTCCAATCAAGTCCCATATGCCTATATACATTGTCAAGCATCCATATGTCAAGTTTCAAGACTCACAGCATCAAGTTGCACAGTCAAAAGCCCTAATTGCTTCACAGTCAACTGCAGGGGCAAAATGGTCATTTGACAGTCAAAAGTCAAAATTTTTGGTCAACATCTCATTTTGAAGCCAAAATCATCATTTGATCAATTCTTGATCATGATTCCACAAGCATGGCTCAAAAAGTCTCAAGATGCAAAAGTTTCTATTCTTGGACAGCTGAAAAGTCAATTGTAACTTGACCAAGGCATAACTTCTTAATGGTTTATCATAAAAATCCCATCCAAAGGTCATTTTGAAGGGGATGACATTTCCTACAATTCATCTTCATATTACAAGTCCAAGAAATGCTCTCACAAAAAGTTATCAATTTCAACATTATAGGTCATAAATTTTGAGGACTTTTCTTTGCAGTCCTTTTCTTTGCAATTTTCATTTTCCCTAACTTTTGCCTGAACTAATTCTTTTGAATTGATAGTCCAGCGGGATGCCTTAATTTTTCCTAAGTCACACGTTTTCATGTTTTTTGACTTAGCAGGCTTTTTCTTTTTCTCGATTTTTGACTTTTTGAACAAAATGTGTGACATTAGCTTGCATTTGCTTGTTGAGAAGATTGTGATTGCCTCATTTCTTGATGAATGAGGGATAACATTGTGGTTCCAAATCCTCTAGATTCATTATACATGAAGGATAGCCCTCGTAGTTTCTCTTCAAAAAACATCTTCCTTATGAATTTTGAACACTCAGTCAGATTAACTAAAAACTACCCTGCCCCAGGTTAAAATTCAAGGTTTTTTCGTATAGAAAAGAAACTTCTGCTTTGAAGGCTCAAAAGGGGTTAGCAAGGGATTATCTTCCTTATATCTCCGGTGTTTAGGGATTTGAAACAATGCATGTACATCATCAGCAAGATTTTATCCAAAAGCAAACAACCAGAGATTTTGTGTTCTTTAGATCATCATCCTCCCTTCAATCTCTGCCTAGGCAAGAGAATGGGCAACAAGTTGGTATCATAATACCAAAAGAAATTTAAAATTTGAAAACAAATATGAGTGAAACGAATGAATTTCTTCAAGACAAACATACTCATTGTATTAAGATAATCATACAGATGCAAACAAGTTCTTACATGCAAACAATGTTTTGATAAACAAGAAAAATTACAAAAAGCAGAAATAAGTTAATGATCGGGGAAGGCTTTCCATCTGGACTTGAATCATCGAAAACATCCTTAAAAACTCAAAGTGACCATCAATCGTGTTTACTCTTCGGCACGTGCTTGATTTGAACTTCAAAACCAACATCCTTGAATGACAAGATACCACTTCTGACCAACTTCTGAACCTCAATCTTCAAAGCAAAGCAACCCTCCAAGTCATGCCCCGGAGCACCTTGATGAAAGGTACAAGTCAAATCAGCTTTATCTTCTCAGGAACCTTCGGTGGAGGTTGGGTCTGAACCAAATTCCTCTGCATCAGGATAGGGAACAACTCTGTATAGGTAATTGGAATTGGATCAAACTAGGTTTTCCTCTGATTAGGAACTTGCTGATTTTGTTGATGAATAGGAGAAACATGATGATTCTGACGATGAATATTTCTTCCTATGGTTCTCTTCTTGGAAAAGTTATTATCAAACTTCTTCACACCATTAGCTGAGCTACCATCTTCATATGAACATCCCTTCCCAACATCTTCTTCTAGACGCACTCCCACATTCACCTTGTCAGGAAAGTCATTAGGTGCATTAACCATCACCTTCTCATGAGAGAATGATTCTAGAGTTTCAGTGAAGACTTTTATCATCGCTTCCTCCCTCCTAGAAGGATTGACTTGGGCAGCAACCAAAATTTCAACCAAAACAGTTGAGTGATCCATACCAGCTTTCAAAATGGTCATCTCTCTACGGAGTTCAGAAACCTCTTGCTTGATATTCTCCATTGTTCTCTTAGAAAGAGTGTTGTACTGGTGAGACCAAAGGAAAAATAAGACTCGGAAAAAGACCTTTGAAAGTGAAACAGAAAAATGTAGAATGATGTATGATATGCAAAAGAGAGTTTTTATTTGATTTTCAAGGAACTCAAGATATTAAGTTGTAAACATCAAAGTATGAAGATAGAAGATGAATTTTAAATTGGCTCCAAACATTGATCGAGTTATCATCAAGATCAATCATCCATTTTGGTGGATTAGGGTTTTCGCCCTATCAACACCCAAGATCCATTGAGCTTGACGAAACTTGTGATGTTTACAAAGAAAGACCTCCAAATTCCTTCAAAGTCAAGTGAAAAGGGTTTTATGGATGCATGAATGCATGGCTATGCAACAACCACAAGCAAGGTCACAAATAAAGTCGAAAGGTTCAACGTCACGAGCATGGAGTCAAGGTAAGGAACACCCCCAAGGTATGTACTAACGGTTTAATCACACCTGTAGAACAAGGTTCTAAGAGTTCCCGAAGTCTACATTCCTCCTTCGGATATTACCAACGTCTTGATTACTTAATAATCAGCAATATTCTCAAGAGAAACTCATCCGAGCGTAGCATCGTGTAACAATTACTTCTGGATTACTTCGTTATAATCTCCGCGCTACACCTAAAAGGCCAAGATGGGTTAGGGTTCTACGGTTCCCAGCTTCTCTGGCTCCCAGGTCGAAAATAATAATGTCTTCCCGATTACTCGGTAAACAAATGTTACGTTCAAAAGGGCCTTCCACTGAGTGGGGGATCTCATGCCTCCTTCTTCGGGATTACTCCCTCAAAGTTAACATGACTATACCGCCCGTCCTATTCCTAAGTGTAACTTAGTCCGGGTATAGGACTTGTCCTTTGTAAATATTATCAACACCCAAATAATCATAATATAAACATATAATCAAACAATCAAATAATGATAAAACAGATAAAACAAATTAGGCTTAACCCACTTAGGGATGGACCAGCAAGAGGTCAATCTCTCCCAAGCAGAGTCGCCAATTCTGTAGCGGTGAAAATCGGAGATCAAGCTATTAATTAACTTGACTCACAAAAGCAAGAGTCGCCACCGCGCTTTATTATTTCCAAGGGAAAAGGGAAAAGAGCGAAATAAAACCCTAAAGTATGCAATGTAAATTAATATTTAAAAGTAATGAAAATACAATGCGTTTTTAAAAGAGATCGAGAGTTCGGGGGTTGGTTATACAATGGGAAGGTATTAGCACCCAATGCATCTGTGGTACTCCGCAGGAACCTTTTGAAATATCTGTTTTTTGGTTAAAATTGTTTGTTTGATTAAAAATGATTCGTTTGGCTAAAAGATGGGTATGGACGAGATTTTTGAAGATACGACGACCTAATGTCGAAGTTTTGACTTAAAAGGTGTGAGTTTTAAAATTGAGTCTTTTGGGAAAGTTATCTTAGGTTTAACAAAATAGTAAACAAACAAAAGATGGATGAGGATATTCGCACGATTGGATGGGATGTGTTTGATAACATGAAGTCAACAAAGTTAAAACATTTCCCTTGGATTTGATCATAAGCAAGTAGATCTAATATTCGAGTAAGAAAGCATAAATAATTAAAATCCACGAGAAACGAACAAGGTAGAGAAGGAGATAAATTGTAAGAAACTAAATGAAAAGACAAAGAAGAATCATGAATAAAAGAAAAATGTAATTAAAAAAATTATCTAAATTAATTTGAAATTCTAAGGTTACTAAGTAAGCTAAACTTAAATTTTAAAGTGTCTAACTAAATTAAATAAAATTTTGAAGTTATTAACCAAAACTAAATTAAAATTCTAAAGTTACTAACTAAAATTCGTAAGTTATTAAATTAAATCTAAAATAAATCAACACTCTAATATTACTGAATCAGGTCTAAACTAAATTAATTCTAAAGTTACTAAATTACATCTAAACCAGTTTAAGTATAAACTAAATTCATTATAAAATTACTAATTTAATCTAAACTATATTAATAATAAAATTACTAACTTAAATCTAAACTAAACCAATTCTAAATTAAAGATTAAAATTCTAAGACTAAATTAAAATTCTAAAGTTATTAAATTAAGCCTAAAACTAATCTAAATAATTAAGATTATCTAGTTAACTAAAACATAGTTGTTTAATTAAATCTACGAAATACCTAGATTGACTAAACTAATTATTATTTAAAATAAATAAATTGAAAGAGTGTAACTAATAATTATCGGAGGGGGAGTAGTAAAAGCGGTTGGGCCTAAAAAAAATGAATCAACAAGCTTAAATTGTAACACAAATAAAGATCAGAAAGATAAATAAAAAAATATGATGGGCCGGACCGGGTCAAGGTGGTCCGGACCCATCTTCCAAACTCACAAAGTTGGGTTGAAGAAAACCCTATTGTTCTTTTCCCATATTTGAGCATGGGTTTTGCAAAAACCAGCGACAACAGTAGCACCTTTCTTTTGTTGGACAGAGACAGCAACAATTTGTCTCATGTCCCTAACAGCAAAATGACCAAGTGGAGGATACTCGGCAAAAGTTTCCACAACCATGGGCTTGGTGGGAATCATCTTAACCATACCTGCATCACCATTCTTCAAAAACTTGGGCTCCTTCTCAATCTCCTTACCAGATCGCCTGTCAATCTTGGTGATAAGTTCAGCAAACTTCACAACAATGTGAGAGGTGTGGCAATCTAGCACTGGTGCATAACCGTTTCCGATCTGTCCAGGATGGTTCATGATGATGACTTGGGAGGTGAAGTTGGCAGCTTCCTCGGCAGGGTCATCCTTGGAGTTGGATGCAACAAAACCACGCTTGAGATCCTTGACGGCAACATTCTTTACATTGAATCCGACATTGTCTCCTGGAAGAGCCTCAGTGAGAGCCTCGTGGTGCATCTCAACAGACTTAACCTCAGTTGTCAAACCGGTAGGAGCAAAAGTCACAAGCATACCGGGCTTCACAACACCGGTTTCAACACGTCCCACTGGCACAGTTCCAATACCACCAATCTTGTAAACATCTTGCAATGGAAGCCTGAGTGGCTTGTCTGAGGGTCTCTTGGGCTCATTGATGTTGTCAAGAGCATCAAGGAGAGTTGGTCCCTTGTACCAGTCGAGGTTGGTGGACCTCTCAATCATGTTGTCACCCTCAAAACCAGAAATGGGAACGAATGGAATTTTGTCTGGGTTGTATCCAACCTTCTTCAAGTAGGAAGAAACTTCCTTCACAATTTCCTCATACCTGCCCTTGGAGTACTTAGGGGTGGTAGCATCCATCTTGTTACAACAACAGATCATCTGTTTCACTCCAAGAGTAAAAGCAAGAAGAGCGCATTGGGTTTTTATTGGTTGGTTGAATTCGCGGAATGGGTTTGCATACGGATGGAGGATGAAGGGTAATCGGGGATTATGCGCAAAAAGAAGGGAGATTGGCTTTTTGCTTTTTATTGTGTGAGGAAGAGAGAATAGGGAGAGAAGATTACTGTGTTGCTTTTGTGTTTTTTGTTTTTGGAGAGAGGGGAAGTGAATTTATTTACTGTGTTTCTTGTCTTTTACAAAGAAAGAGTAAATAGTATTATATAGCCAAGTGAAAATAGAAAAAGATGATTTCAGTTTCAATCGTTCAATCGTATCCGTCCAAAATTATTTCAATTTTATCAATCCATAACTTATGCTATTAACCAATAGAAATAGAGCAAGGTGTAAATAATATATTTTGTGATCAAATAGTCCTTAAATGATAAAAATAACCAAAAAACTAAATGTATTAAAATTAACTCAATTTAAAAATGATTTTTTTTGAATATTTTATGAATAAAAAATAAAGACCCAAAATGACCGAAAATGATAAAAAAATGGACGAAAATTTATCCGAAAAAATAAAATGAACACATTAAAATAATCTACATGTCACAAAGATTAAAGAAAAAATATTCAAGAAGTCAAAAATCAAAAATAAAATAATAATAAAAATATCAGACTAAACAGACGTTTAAGGTTAAAAACGAGACTTCGAACTGTACCGAAAAAAATAAAGCGAGCATACCGTCATAATCTACGCGAAGCGCAGATTCATAAAATGATCGGTAAAAGGTGAAAACTTGAAATATTTTTCTCGCTAATTTTTCGCACATTGTTGAATCGCTTTTAACAGTTTGTCTATAAAACCAAAATATTTTATTATCGACATATAAACAACTTGGAGCAATGCAAGAAAATAGTAAACAGGTAAAAATGAATGATGTGAAATGCCGGGTATTTTACAACTGAAAGACGATGCAAACTTTGATTTAAACTGACTTTTCTGGTCAACTTAAATACGACTAATGATGCAAAATATGATGAATGAAGATATTCACTAATGATTGTGACTAAATAACAAAATATGATATGAAAGTGCGACTAAAACATATTAGGGGCGAAATTTAGGGTGTAACAGTTGTACCTTGATGAATCAGTCTTCGAGAATCCATAATCAACCGTACTTTTGGATTGGGAGACTCAAAACCTTAATTGAGGCGCGACACCTGATGCTCTTGATTCATACCTGTCTCTGCATATGACACAAAATAAGACATGAACATACACCTTTGTATGCGATTAGAAATTAGTGATACATATGCTAAAAATGTTCAAAACACTTGACAATCTTCGCATAGTCAAAGCTCGAAGGTGAGACGTTAAAACCGACCGTATTTCGTGACCTTGACTTATCTTAAAAAATGCAACAATAAAAATGGGATCTTAGGTCAAAAATTGGGGTACAACAGCTGCCCCTATTTAAGTTTCTTCTATCTGGAGATATGAAGATTGGGATCTTCATTTCGACGAGATTGAAGGGACTTAAATATAGAATACACAATTTTTGGCCTTAAGATACCGCGATTATGTTCATGATATGATATGAATGTAATGCTCTGAATTTTATGGGGAATGACGCCATATGAGACAGACTATGCTGGAGAAACCAAGCACATTATAGTAATCCTACAGGGGAACAGATTATAACACCACTGGGGAAACAAAGTCATAGACTTCAAATGAGAGACTCTTGAATGATTTACATCAGTATTGAGACTGGAAAAGGTAATGATTTACATCAGTACTGTGACTGGAAAAGCATACGATTGACATCAGTACTGAGACTGGAAAAGGAAATGATGGACATCAGTACTGAGACTGGAAAAAGAAATGATTTACATTAGTACGAAGACTGGAAAAAGAAATGATTTACATCAACACTGTGGCTGGAAAAGAAATGATTTACATCAGTACGAAGACTGGAAAAAGAAATGATTTACATCAGCACTGTGGCTGGAAAAGAAATGATTTACATCAGCACTGTGACTGGAAAACAAAATGATTTACATCAGCACAGTGGCTGGAAAACAAAATGATTGACATCAGCACTGTGGCTGAAAAACAAAATGATTGACATCAGCACTGTGGCTGAAAAATAAAATGACTGACATCAGCACTGTGGCTGGAGATAAACATCTCTGATTTCTGAATTTTACCAAGAACGGTAACACATTTCTTCTTTAACCAAGATATCGCTTGAAAAGGATAAAATAATAAACTTCCCCACTGGACTTTTCCGAAAGGGATGCCATTTGCTGAGTAGACATTATTGTTGGGGATACACAAGCTGCTCAAATAAAGGAGCTGCCACTTGCTGTCTTCCAAAAAAAAGTGCTATGACATACAAGCTGCTTAAATAAAGAAGATGCCACTTGCTGTCTTCAAAGAATATTAAAGCACACAAGCTGCTCATGAAGAGTCCGCCACTTGTTGCCAAAAACCCACAAGCTGCTCATAAAGAAGCTGCCACTTGCCGTTTTCAAGGGAACAATAACACACAAGTTGCTCAAATAGATAAGCTGCCACTTGCTGTCTTCCAAAAATACTAACGTACAAGCTGCTCATGAAGAAGCTGCCACTTGCTGTCTTCAAAGAATATTAAAGCACACAAGCTGCTCATGAAGAGTCCGCCACTTGTTGCCAAAAACCCACAAGCTGCTCATAAAGAAGCTGCCACTTGCCGTTTTCAAGAGAACAATAACACACAAGTTTCTCAAATAGATAAGCTGCCACTTGTTGTCTTCCAAATAATACTAACGTACAAGCTGCTCATGAAGAAGCTGCCACTTGCCGTTTTTCGTACAAGCTGCTCATGAAGAGACCGCCACTTGCCGTTTTCAAAAGAAAAAATAACGTACAAGCTACCCATGAAAGGACTGCCACTTGCCGTTTTTCGAGGTGTCAATAATATACAAGTTGCCTCGTGAAGAGACCGCCGCTTGCTGTTTGTCAAGAGTATCCATAACACACAAGTTGCCTCATGAAGAGACTGCCGCTTGCTGTTTTTTAAAAGTGTTGATAACATACAAGTTGTCCATGAAGAGACTGCCGCTTGCTGTTTTCTCAAAGATACCCATAAAATATCATGAAGATATTGCTGGAGGTGAGAACCAATAATTTCATCGGGGATGGACAAACTGCTCATGAATAGACCGCCATTTGTCATAAAGAAATCAGAAATAATCAAACTGCTCAAATAAAGAGTCAGTCGCCTGTTGTCATGTCGATATTCCAGAAGAAGGTTGTGATAACACTGTTGGGGAATAAAGTTCATCTTCAATGGGGAACCATGAATAAATCCATCTTGAGGAGACCAAGTATTTACATTGCGAAATAAATGCACTTTCCATCTAGGTTTCACAGCCTAGAGAGATCCACAGGGTATCGTTCACAAGAGACAAAGCTCAATCCAGGAATAAACTGGAGAGAAAACAGTCAAACAAGACTCCACCCAATGAGGAAACAACTCAAATGGGGATTTATCCTATCCAGAGATGGAAAAGGAAAGATGAAGCAAGATTCTTCCACGAGAGTTAACTCAGTGGGGAATTAGAAAGGAGGCGCACTTTCTGCTTAAGTTAACATTCTATTTGGAAAGATCAAATACGCTATTTGAATAGACATAACCAAGGTATACGTACTCAAAGACATCAACAAATACAACTGTGCATGCATGATGCAAGTGTGAATGAATAAATGAATGTCATGTATATGCTGACAAAACAGACATGGGAGATGGACAGAAAATGATAAGACATCACAATACAACTCGACACTCGGCTAATCTCAACAGGATGGTAACATTACTGGAGATAGAACACAGGCCATCATTGGAGCAAAGTCCTTTTACAAGGCTTAAATATCTCTGGAGAGGGAGATATTTTTCGGTGAATAACCCAAAGTCTAGTCTTCTATCACCAACAATCCATTGAAAGGATAACAATATAAAAAATGTTTCAGCTGGAAAAAAGTCTTGCTTAGCTGGAGATACTGGAACACCACCCTCTGATAATGTGTGAAAAACATATCTTGACAAATCTGGATTGCCCCTGGGATTAATTTTGGATGCCCCAAGTTTACTGCCGATAAGCTGCGTGATGCACGACGATTCTTGCGAATAGCTTCACCTCTAAAATGCCCCGAGCTATATGGTTGACGAGGAGAAATCGTCTCAAGAGGATTTTACAAAAGACCTGGCATTCACCATGCTCTGGTGTCTTCAAACTCTTAGAGGAATTCATCAAATCTCGACGTGATTGCCCCGGATTGACTGTAGTTGGCACAACAAAGTCTTCAAATTTTGCCCCAAAAGAGTAAACAAGTTGGGAAAAGCATTAACTGGGAGAAGCAACATGTTCGTGCTTACGGTCTTCAGGTGACATGCCCATGGATATGATTTTTTCTTGACGTGATCCGCCAATTACTCAACATAGTTTCAGGCCTTAAAAGAATAAACTCATCACTGGTGCTTATGTGAGCTTCCTTGATATCAAACAAATGTTTTGCAGTTAGAAAAAGTTTACAATGAGAATGAAAATTCTAATGCAACAGTTATGTAAGTCTTGAAGATTTTGAAAGATATCGCACAAATTTTGCGAGTTAAATCACCATTTATTTTTGTATAGGAAAAACATATGATACCAACATAACTATTTAGAACATTCATGGGAGTCAGGAACACTATCTCATTGAAGTATGCTTTCAAAATAACCTTGCTTCAATTAGGACTTTTGAAGGTTGTAATGTGGTCTGGTTCATGGTTTTTAGAAAAAAGATTTTAAGGCTCAAAATATTTGGTGCCCACCCATTCTTCATGATGTTCTCCAACCCTATGTTCAGTTAATTCAACATGAGTGTTCATCTCTCAAAAGGATTTTGTGACGGTCAAGGAAACGACGAGGCTTTCGGAGTAGAAA